CGCCATTTTGTGAGCGTGCTCTGGTACAGCCGCCATTTCAGTCACAGACACTGTGTCGCGTTCTTCCTCCGCGACACCCACAGTAAACAAAGATCCGACAGTCAACAAAGCATAATCCATAAACTGAGCGAGTGATGAACGTGGGCCCTCGCGTCTAAGTTTAGACTTAAGCGGTTGATTTATGCCATCGCAGAAAAACTCTATCAATAAACAGTCTGGCAAATCAGAATAGTGAGCGATGGCTAAAAACTCTCGAATATGGTTCTCCAAAGATCGGGGACCCTGTTTAAGGGCTAACAAAATTCTTGCCGTGTCCATACCTGCACTGTAAAAAATAAAAAGTTGAGTTAACTTATAAATAAAGCAACCAGCTGCAAAGCATTTTTGAGTTTACTCAACTTTGGTGGTTGAAGTTGTGCCAAATCATTTTTGAAAGTTCAGTGAAGCTGGATAAGGGAGTTGAGCGAACTTTAAAAAATGAGTAGCCACAACTACATGGGCATGAAGTTCAGTCAACTCAAAAAAGCTTTGCAGCTGGTTGTCTTGTTTTTTAAGTTGATTCAGCTTTATTTTCATCTTTTAATTTAGCTATGAATAATCTCGCATCCATATTTCTCAGCCATGCTGTAAAAACAATACAAAAGACTATGCCATCATTACAGAAAATATTTATTCACAATTTGTCACATTGAGGCCCCTTAAGGATGAACTCATGTGCATGTTGAGAGTGTGATGACAATCTGTGTAGTTGATGGTTGAGCTCCAGAATATTAATAATGATGTGGCTTTGACATCTACAGGTGGGAATAAAGAAACCTAAACTTGAACAAAAAGAACCAGTTCAGCATAAAATATTCTTCAGGACTGTCCAGAAGAGGGCAGCAGACACTCTCATTTAGGTTTTTCATGCAAAGTCTAATTGACATCAAGAATTGAAAACGGGTGTGATTTTATTTAGATGCTTGAGTTGAAAGAACTTAGAAAAACGAGGTTTGTGTTTCAACTTTATTAAGTATTTCTATATTTCTATTTTATAGTAGGCCTATTTCTTTCAGGAATCTGCTCTGGACAGGTTCAGGCCCTTCAGCTTCATTAATTATAGCTTGATTATTTATGCTATAAGAAAACGAGTGGGATGTTCATGAAGTGCTAATGTCACTGAGTATCACTAGAAGACATTTAGTGTGGCTGTCAAGCTGAAGAACCAAACTAATATTACCAAACACAACTCATCCATGATCTCATACTGATCCTATAGGATGGCGTCATTATGGATTTTATTAGAAGGATTAAAACAACAGCAGGATGGAAAGTGATATTTGATAATTACAGTTTATATATTTTTTTTTATGACAGAAAAATGCGGAAACACCTGGAATATTTCTTAATAAATTGTGAGTTTATAATGTTAGAACTCACTGCAGCATCCTTATAATATAAGAAACTGTTAAAAATCACCACGTGATATTATGGTAAAAGATCTGAATATCATTTCAATCTTAAAATGTGATTTTAATCAGAAAGTTACATCTCAATCAATACGGCCGTCTTGCATTTCCATCTGACTTCCAGAAGATGACCGTAAAAGCCACAGTAATGTAAAAAACCTTATATTATCCTGCTAAACTCTGAACTATATGATGTTTATTTGTAAATCTGTTTATATCAGTCAAAACATTTGACAGTTTTTGCACATGGTTTTGCTTCTGCAGAGGAACTTTCACTATCATTCTGTTATGTTTGATCTGTTGATTTATAATCTTTTATAGCTTGTGTGTTTTGGGTCACCAGATAAAGCTCGAACTCTAAACCACGTGATTTCACAGAGAAGCAGGTCATTGAATGGTGCAACTGATATAAAACCAAGTGATTTAAGGGATTTTTGTTTATAATTTGGCTGATGCCGCTGCTGCAGGACAGTAGAAGGAAACTGAGAACATTTGTACAGTAAGTACAGCAGCTTTTCCTTTCAGGATTATTTATGCGAGATTTGTAACAGATGTTCATAATAATAATCACAGATCTGATCTCTCTTTAGGTTCACTGAAAACAATTTTATTTTTGATAAATTAAACTAAAAAAAAAAAACAGTGACATCATTGCCATTAATAATAATAATAATAATAATATCAAGACACATGAAAGCCCGCATGGAGTTTGCTAAAAAACACCTGAAGGACTCCAAGATGGTGAGAATAATAATAATAATAATAATAATAATAATAATAATAATAATAATAATAATAATAATAATAATAATAATAATAATAATAATAATAATAATAATAATACATTTATAAAGCACTTTACATTTTAAAGAATATCTCAAAGTGCTACAAAAAGTGTCATAATAATATAAAGCAATTAGAAAAAAACTCAAATTAAAAACCAGCTGAGATTAACACATAGGTTCAAACATTTTACATGTATTGTATTAATAAAGGTAATATGTCAACACACTGAAACCACATACATTTGATCTTTGATTTATTTAAAGCATTCTTGGTTTCTCAACAGATAAAGCCTTAGATTAGAGTAAAAAAAAAAAAGTTTGCAGAGTGTTTAAGGCATTTTCTCTTATTTATTAAAAGCCGCATGGTGAATGTGAAATATGAAAATATTATGGTGGCCGAGAAGTGCAAAGCAAATCACAATTCTGAAAACAAAATAACAAATTACAAACGCAAATGCAAGTCTAAAAAACAAAATAACAATTCAGAAAACACAACAACAATTCAGAAAACATTATAACAAGTCAGAAAACACAACGACAAATCAGACAAACCGGAAAAGGTAGGTATAGTTTGAGACTTGGTTTTTGATTATTTCCTTAATTTTTATTGAAAATAAATGCCTTTACGATGTGATACGAGATTTGAAAAGGGAGGAAAAAAAAGTTTGGCAAAAGGTGGGATTGAACCCGGGTCGATCGCGTCAAAAACCCCACGACACGCACTTATACATCTGCACCACTGGAGCTGATGACTGACAGGCACTTTTAACTAAATGTAAATATACACCCCGTATTTTTTATTCCATAGTAAGGGCAATTCATACAATACATTTAAACTGAGCTACTTTAATACCATCTCCGAACTTTCTACCACGACTCTGCTGTTCTTCGGCTGGTTCTTCCCTGTATACGTTGATTGACAGATGTCTCGTCCAGTCAGCGGTGAGTAATCCCAAAC